GCCCCGGCCGCCCGTCACCCGCTGCCCCTCTTCCTCCAGCTGGGACCTTTGTTGCGGAAGAGCAGCCTGGGCCCCTTCTACACAGGCTGCAGGCGGGCCGCCCTGCGGTGAGACCTCGCGCCGCTCCCGTCTCAGGGCGCCTGACCCGCTGGCTCCTTCCTCCTCTGGTCCCCAGCCCGCTCTTCCCGGGAGCTTTCGGGAGCCCTGCGTCCCTCTCCCCTCAGGCCAGAGGAGGACGGAGCCGCCACCCGCGTGGACGTCACCTGTACGTACGACTCTGCGGGCTTCCAACTGGACAGAGAGCGGCTGTACTGGGAGCTGAGCCAGCTGACACTGGGCGCCGCCCGGATGGGCCGCTACAGCCTCGTCAGGGGCAGCCTCTCCGTGGACGGTAATGGCCGCGCCGAGCTCGTGCTCACGCTCCCTCGGGGCCCCCCTGCACCCCTACGCTCTGTCGGGGACCACCTCCCCACACATTCACCTGTCATTGCAGGCGAATACCGTGCATTTCTCGGGCCAACTTTGCATGCTACATTTTAATCCAGAACCCAAATGTCTGGCCCCAGCATCTCTTAGGACGGAGTCCCAGGTTCTCCCGCCTCTGTCAGGGCTCTTATCCAGGGAGTCTGCACCTCCCCTGCACCTGGGGAGAAGCCGGGTGTCACCAACACCCCCCAATGCCCAGGAGGCCCCCGTAGACCCCCGAGACTCGCACAGTCCCACACGGTGGTGGTCCTAAGGGCGCCAGGGCCTGCTGCACGTGCTCCCGGCTTCCAGGTGTGGGGCCAAGCCAGCGATTGCCGCACGTGGCTGCAACGACGTGTCTAATTACCCAGCTCCCCGGCCCCACTGTGAGCTCTGTGACGTCAGGGTCTGTCTCCTTAGCACTGCACCCTCAGTTCTTATTACGAGTGAGTGAGTGAGTGTAGGTATCTTGGTCCCTGTACTTGGGCATTCGCTGCAGTTCGTGTATTCATTCAACAAGCATGTGTGACCACTCCGTCCCCAGCCATGTGTGGTGTGGAGGTAGAAAACACAGCTTTTTTTTTTTAAGATTTATTTATTTATGGATACAGAATTGGGTACAGGCCACAGGTGCAGGGATGGTGAGAGGCTTCACCAGAGACATGGCGGGGAGCAGAAGAAGCAGGTGAAGTCCACTGCTGAGGGGAGCCGCGGGCGGGTCAGGAGAGGTCTGCCGCGCCCTGGGGTCACCTCCGGGGCAGGCGGGAATCGAACTCATGTGGAAGTGGCTTTAGCTTCTCAGTGCTGAGCTTTAACCCGCTGCGCCCCCAGGGAGGGCCAGAAGACACAGCTTTTACCTCTGCAAAGCTAGCGCTCAGTGAGATGGAGTTCACAGGAGCACGGGAGGGCAGAGGCCATGCAGAGCCCGGGTGCTGTGGGACACAGAAGAGAGGCAGTCACGGAAGGCTGCCTGGAAGAGGAGGCCCAGCCCTGTGCTGGGCATCGGGGCGTGTGAGCAGATGGACAGGTCCCCGGCACTGGGTTCCTGAGCAGGGATAGGAGTTTCCCAGGAGAAGAACAGGGTGACGAGCTCTCCAGGACGCAGGAGCCGCGGAGCGCAGCAGTGCTCAGCTGGGGAGACTGGCAGGCTCCAGCGCTTCTCCCTCTGGGGCGACTCGCCGTGAGGAGCCCTCGGCATAAGGCTCTCCTTCTGGGGGGCTCTGACGTGGCCCCCGAGGCCCTAAAGGCCAAGCGTCTCCGCCTGTTTTCCTCCCCTGGGTGGCTCCAGGCTTCGCACCCCAGGGTTCGCCCACCCAGCACGAGTACCAGATTGACTTCCGCATCGTCCACCGTGACGCCGGCAGCCCAGGCCCCGCGGCCTCAGCGCCCCAGGCCCTGCTGTGGGACGTCCAGGACAAGGTGGGGCTCTCGCCCCTCCGGCCCTGTCCCTGTTGCGGGTGGGGGGCTGGCGGTGCCCCAGGAGGTGGGGGCAGCGCCGGGATTCGAACTCTGGTCTCTGGGGCGCGGGGCCTGTGCTCTGCCCGGCTGCAGGGGCCCGAGGCTCCGGGCTGACCCGCCGTCCCGCCCGCGTTCCAGGTCACCGCGCTCTTCTCGCACAGCCAGCTGCGGGCCGTGTTCCGCTCCTGCGTGGCCACCAACGTGACGTGAGTGGCGGCCCGGGCTGCCGAGCTGGCGTCTCCGGGGTCGGGCCGCGTCCCTGTCCGCCAGCCCTGCCAGCCCTGCCAGCCCGCCCCAGACCCGCAGGAGGCAGAAAGGGGTTTGGGCGGGTCCAGCCTCCAGCTCTGCGGCCCCCCGGCCCTCTGCTCCCCAGCACTTGCCGTCAGGCTCCCCCAGGGTGTCCGCGTCCTCTTGTTGAATTCTCCCCTGTGAGGGGCACCGTGGTCACCGCCGCTGCTCACACGAGGAAGCCGAGGCCCAGAGGCAGGGGAGCAGTCCAAGAAGGGGGCGTTTGTCCGAGCCTGGTGCTGGGGAGCAGGGCTGAGGCCTCCGTG